GTGCATGTCGTCCGTTGCTGGGTCCTACGGTTACATTGCACCAGGTGCGCCACCACTCCACTCTCTCAAGGCACCACCTTTGACAATAAAGTGTTTCACACGAGTCATAGAGACACTATAGTGTCAAATCTAGGGTTCCCCTAGCTTTTTTGTCTATAAAGTATAAATATGGTTCTAATCTATATAAGTCATTCATGTCAATGTGAAACAGAGTATGCCTACACTTTGAAAGTGGACCAGAAGAGTGACGTGTACAGCTTTGGAGTTGTGTTGCTAGAGCTGATAGTGGGGCGCAAGCCGGTGGGGGAGTTTGGCGACGGGGTTGACATAGTCAGATGGGTGAGGATAACAGTTTCAGAGCTCTCTCAACCGTTGGATTCAGCAGCAGCCGTGCTGGCCGTGGTTGACCCACGACTCAAAGGCTACCCTTTGCAGGGAGCGGTCCATCTGTTCAACATAGCAATGATGTGCGTCGAGGATGAGAGTCGAGCTAGGCCCCCCATGCGCGAAGTTGTTCACATGCTAACAAACAATCTCCCACCTGAGATATAAAAATAACAGAGTAGGCATTCAACAATAACAAGCAGTCTACTGCTGAGTTAAGTTCTTTTAACTGTGAATTGGTATGTATGGCGATTTTTCTGCATTTCTGGGTCATTCAATTGTATATTTGTTTATAGAGTAAGTTGCGCTTATTGGATCTCGACCATTCAATTTTGATTGGACAACTTATATGAAGAAGACAAGCAAGCACGAGATCCAAAACTATGGCAAGGAGTACATATAATGCCACATTAAGAGAATACTGTCCCAAAAAGGGTTATGCAAATTGATAATGAGAATAAAGATTGGTATTTTGGAATGAAACAGTTTTAATATACTTAAGAGCAATCTTCAAAGTTTACTCAAACTTGATTCTGCAACTACAAATTAAGACAAAGGCAAGAGAGAAAGATGAATTACAATCACAGAAACATGCTTTATTATAGTAAGAATCAATCACAGCACATAAGAATTACACAAACATTCAAAGGGGTTTTAAAGTTTAAACCACAGGTTCAAAGAAAGAACATATGAAGTATTTACATTCTCATGTATTACATTACACCTCTCCATCCAGCGATTCCCACACCCAAAGAAGACCAAGAAATGGTAGTTTGAATGGTTATGAATGGATGGGAATGCAGCAGATTTACCACACAATACATCATCAATCACTGCTTCCTGCAGCAGCAGTAGAAGTGGATGAACTAGACGATGAAAAGTTGCGAGCTTTCTTCTTCCTTTCCTCCTCGTACTCCGGATCATCCGTAGGCAGCTCAAACCTGCAAATTGGGCACGAATTCCTCGAGCCCAACCATGGCACAATGCAATCCCCATGGTATCTATGCCCGCAAGGCAATTCCATTGCTGCTTCGCCTATGTTTAAAGAATCTTTACATATAGAACATTCTAGTTCCTGCAGGCTGCTTTTGATGGTGACTATGGGCAAAGCCTCTATTGCCGCTCTTGAAGCTGGCGGGGCTCCTCGTCTTCCTCCATTATCCATGTCTGCCAAGTTCTGCAGCAAGGCTTCGTAGCCTGCTGCGTCCATGTAATCTCCAGGGCTCCCATAGTAGCCATCCACTTCCATTGAGTTCTCTTCCATCCCTATGAGAATTTCCGCCCAATCGAGAGTCCTGTTGCGGCTGTTAGCGGAACGAGCAGCTAGTTCGCGAAGCCTGAAACGGATCACGTCGCGCGGCCCAAAACGGTATTCCTCTTCCTCGTCTTCATCAGATTCGTTCCGATTCTCGTCCTCTGGGTCTTCTTCTTCCTGATCCGCCTCATTCTCCTCGTCCTCGTCGTCGTTCTCCGACCTGGCGATCTCCACTCGGAGATAATCATCGCCGGATGGATCCGCGTGTTCGGAGGGGGGCGGAGGAGGGGCGTCGTCCTCACGCGCGGCCTGAGCGATGAGGCGCAGGACTTGGTAGAACTGGTCGCTGAAATTAGGGAAATCGCCGATCTGATCGGATTCGGAGGCCGGAGGAGCAGCGACGACGGAGATGGACTCGACGGTGGAGATGGACTCGACGAAACCGTTTTTGCACTCGCGGCAGACGACATCGGGAAGATCCGGGAGGGTTTCAATGGATACCCGTTTGTCGCAGTGATAGCACCAGTGGTGCAGCGAATCGGGGTCCGATGGGGTTGAGGGACGGGTTTGAGTCGGAGCTCCGTTTTGGGATTCGGCCATTGACGAGTCTGGCGTGGCAGGATATGGACCAGTATGACTCGGAAGGGAATCGGCAGAGATATGAAGAAGATCAACAGTTGATGGTATTTGCCATCCGGATTTGGGTTTTTTTTTTGATAATTCATTGAATTTAGAAATTACTCGTACTTTTGAGTGTTACAAACAATCTAGGCCGTCGATCTTATGAAACCACACGCAAGCAAAAATACAATAAAACAATATAATTTGTCGGATTAAAAATATTTGGAGAATTAATAAAATTAAGACAGCTGATCTTATGAGCAAAAACCAACAGCCAAAATACAAAAATTAAAGGGTTAATCATGTTTTGAGTTTGCTGGGATAATGTCCAAGCATATATCGGATCTCTTCGTTAGATCTATAGCATTGCAAATATCCAACCTGTGTGGACCAAGAGCCACCGAGTCGAGTGGCAAGATATAAGTGCCTAAGCCCGGCCATAGTATCATGTCCCGAGTTAAGTGATATGTTATAACTTCTAACCATAGTGATATATTCCGAGCTTGGAAAGCATATCAGTAAGAGGAATAAATAGATACCTCATAAAAATCCTTATTAATTATCTTTTTTTATTGTTTTCAGGGATTTTTTTGGGGAATCTGCTCTCATTAAGATTGCCAAACCCTAATGACCATAGTATATAAAGAAGAATTGTGTTTTGATATAGGGGTCTTTTGTTTCTCTTATTCTCCACTTGTACTCTAGAGAAAGAAAGCTTGATGAGCTTTCTCTCATGGGTTCTAGCCTCCTCCCTTGTTACACCAGAACAAGTTTGCTTGACTTAGGCTAAAAAAGGTTCGTGCTTTTCTTCCGGATTCAAGTTAAAAATTCTTATTCACTTTCTTTTACAAACCTACATACAGTTCATGATATTTTGGGTCTAGATATGATATTGGATCTCTAGAAACTCGGACACAATTAACTCCATCAGAGTCCTTATAATATACGTAAATTATTTTAATCCAGTAAAATATTTTTAATTAAAATCATCCTTAAATAAAAAAAATTACAAAGATAAAAAACAAAATAAATTTGTACGAAAACAAAATAAATTTGTCAAAAGAATTACTGGTACGACAATTACACGGAAATATTTATTTGAATCCAATTAGTAATACTCCGTAATTTTGTTGAAGTTTGATCGATTGCACTAAAAACTAATGCCAATTCTTTCGTCCCAAAATTATTCTAGTTTAATTTTTTGGAATTTTAGATAAGGAATAGTTGCATTGAAATCGGGCTAAAGGCTAGTTGATATAAGTAGGCCCAACGGTCCAATCTTTAATGAAAGGAACGGTCCATTGCTTGAATCGAGGACATGAATATAATAATCAGCCCAGTTATATGAAGGGTTAGACCCGTAAGAAGTGTCCATAATTAATGAAGAAGTGTTGTCATTGGAAACTAACAAAACTATGTGTCTGATGTGAATGATTCTGATCTAATTAAAACAAGTTTTGATTTGATCTAAATTGGTCTGATCTAATTTGAATGTAATTTTATTTAAAATTGTTTCTGAACTGAACCGATTCTAATAAGAATAAATAATATGTAATCCGTAAGTAATAAGAATAGGTTACGGAAAACAAGCACCAAGACTATGGGACGTGCTCGTCCAATCCCTAACGGCCACCTCACCGCCCTACCGGGATGCGGGCATGGAAAAGAGAGAGGGATGCTACCGAACGCGATATAAAAATCGTTAAACATGTTTTTATTGACTAATAGATTAATCATACAACATTAAAATTAATTTTATTTGGCTAACAATGATAAAACTGTTAATTATGTTCCATATAAGATGTATCAATTTGATGAGAGAGCACGTACAAACATTCATATGTTCCAGAAAAGATCATTTTCTATATCTTTTTTAGTTCAAAAATTATCTTCTCATTCTAACTTTTTATTCTATTTCTTCCAAAATACCTCTTCCAACAATGCCCCACTCTTTCTTTTTTTTTTCCTCCTCGTCTTCTTCTACTTAAATACTCCCTCCATTCCATTAAACCATTCTTGTTTTACTTAATTCTCTAAAACACTTTCACTTTCTATTAAAAAAATCATTTTTACTCATACTTTTTTTATGTCCTACATATCATATCATACTTTTTCACTAATAACTAAGTTATCACATCTTACTTTCACCCATTACATCAGGGGAAAAATTGGAAAGTCAACCAAAACTACACTTTCTTTATTTTGCCCAAAGTCAAAATGAGAATAGTATTTTTTATTTTTATACTCCATCTGTCCCTAAATATATTTCACATTTGCTTTTTCAGCAGTTGCATGAACTTTTATTTATTTCTACGTTTTCATTGTTATATGATAAAATAAAATATTTTTGACTCCTCTTATTTCAAAAATTTTCATGTAGTTTTTTATATGTAAATTTTTCTTTATTTTTATATCAATATATAAATAAAAAGAAATAGAAAAAACTTAATATTTTACCTCGTTAATAGAAATGTGAGATATATTTAAGGACGGAGGGAGTATGAATTTATAAATTACTCAAACTTAAAAAGAATGAGTGAAAATTTAACTAAATAGCACTAAAACATAATAGCTTTTCCTAAATAGCATCACATGTTTTTTTATTCCCAATCTAACAGTTTTAGTTATTTTCCATTAATCATTATTCAAGTAAATATTGGTCATCACTGGACATTATGAACATAATGAAGTGCTATTTAGAAAATAAAACAATTTAATTGATATTTAAAAAAAATGACTTAAATTTTAGTTCTATTTAGTGCAAATATTTCTAAGGCCAATTTTATTAAAGAGAGTATGTACATATATATGCATGATTGAAAGCCGCAGCTTTCTCCACAAACTACTAATCTGTCCAACCTCGCCATGTCTCCAATGGTTTGGAGTAAAAAAGAACAATGAAAATGGAAGAATAATGATATGGGGAAAGATTTATTCAATTAATTAATTACAATTTGCAAACAAGCTAAGTGAATAAAAGAGAGAGCAAGGATCATGGCCAGCGCCGACATCATCGGAGACTTGGAATAATGCAAGGCAAAGTGCGACATTTTCGCCGGCGAATCTCCCGGTATGATTCCCCGCATCCACGGATTCTTGAAAATGCCTTCCGGCGGACCCGAAACGGAGTTGATAAACCCTCGTGTTGTTTGTGTGGCCGCCGGTGGTCCGCTACTCGACGAGGATGTTCCGGCGACCTGCGACGACGGCAATGCGGATGCTGGTGTTGACGAGGACCTCTGCATTTGTCTGCGCGCAATTTGAGCCACAGAAAATTAAAGATTATAGATCGTGAATAAATGACATTACCTAAAAAGGCAAAAAGCTGAATGCAAAAAAAAGCAGAGAACAAATTAAAAGAGTGAGGGATGCGAAGCGTACACACCATTTCTCCCCCCACCCCTTCCATAACTATTCATTTATATTTAATTTTTATTTACTTATTCTTTTGAGTTTTCTTGCCTATTTGAATGGTTATGGTGGGGACAGATGAAATACACCTTTGATGTACCCCTAGTATTTACCTAAAAGAGTTTAATTTACCTTGTTTCTCTCTCTCATCATATTGAACTAGTAACAAATTAAAGAAGAAATATTGTCTTTTCCTAATATAAGATTTAAATTTTTTTATTTTGTAAATAGGACCGAATAATATTCAGTAATGTTAAACATTTACTTGAATAATGAATAATTGATAATGACTAAAAATGCAACATTGAAAAATAAAAACTTATGACAGCGAGTATAATTTGTGAAAATTCATTATGTTTTGCCTCCCTTTCACACTAACTTCATTCGGAAGAAATGTACCTTGTTTGGGAAGGGCAAAATGTGATCCTATAATCAGCTCCTAAACACGTAAATGTGCTCGTGGCGTCATCGTATGCGTAGCTATACGATCTCGGGCACGCCGTTTTGAACATCTCCGAGTACTCCGACGGCCGGCACGTCGATGGCGACCCGTACGCGCCGCTGCAACAGTACTCCGGGCTGCCGAACGCCCCGCACGCGCTACGGCACGCCTGCCCGTCTCCTGCCCGAAGCACCTCCGGGCACATCCGGTTCACGTCCGCCGCGCACCCGGTCGACCCGCATGCGCCGGCCCCGCCGACGGGTTCCACCTGCATGGGCAGGTTGAACCCGTCGACGAGGCTGACGTCGTAAAAGTCCGGAGTTCCGGCGGGGCCCCCAACGGTGAACTCCGCCAGCGTCGCGGGCGGCGTTGCGCCGGCGCCGTTGCACTCCATCTGGTTCGATCCGCAGTCGGCAGTGGCGCAACTACCCTGACCGGTGACCGGATCGAATGTACATCCGGTTCGGCCCCAAATCCGGCCCGACCAGCTAGACGAGACTTGAAAAGCACGTGACCCGCCGGGTGGAAGCCGGAATCCGGTACTGCCGAGCCCGGCGCTGCCGGCATTGCCCAAGATTCCGGGCCATACGGTGTAATCACATCTGTTAATCACCACAAATGTAGCCCCAATTACACCTGCAAGTATATATAAATAAATATCAAGTAATAAATTAAAAAAAGAAGGAAAGAAAGAAAAATGTTTGACGACGATCCATGCATGCAATTCAACCAGATTTAAATTAGAGTAGTGTGCAATTTCTGTATGGTACCTTTGGTGGGGATGGAGACGAAAATGGGGATGAAGAAGAGAAGATAAGAAGTAAAAGGAGGGGAATTAGGATACATTTGGATTAGAGAATTAAACACAGAATTGTGAGATTTAATTAATTTGTATGGATGATATTTGTATAAATGGAGACTGTTATTCTGATCTTATGAATTTTAAAGAGTAGTTGCAGTGCCCATATTTATATAGTTGGAGTATATCCATAAAAAAGTTGGGACTCCAAAGTTGGTCACGTTGGGTGTCAAAACAAGACTTTTCTTGATGTTTTTTTGTTGCTGATACAATTTGTTCAAGTGATATGACAAATAAATAAAATTTAAGCCCAAACTTTAACAGTCTTACTTATATGCAGCTATTTAATTTTGTGAAAGATGGGAGACCACTAATATATGTTGAATGCTTTACTTTTTGTGTCCCATACATAAAAGCTTTTGAACTTTCTTTTTTGAATATTTCATAAAATTATTAACATTTACTTGATTCTCTATTTTAGTACAGTAATAAAATACGGAAGTATTGAAATACGGAGTACGTGATTATTAAATTTTTTTCTCCTTGAAATAAATTTTATCCAAACACATTTGTATTCTTTAACCATTTTCTTAATTTTCGTACATTTAAAGTCTCACTAATTTTATACGAGTAAAACCAATGGAGTATTTGTGTATTAGTGTACATACGTCGTTTATAACGGAGTATCAGTAGGTGTACTTATAATAAGTTGGTTTATCTTTCTGGGGCACAAAATTAAAGATTTAAAGGGGGAGGTGGGGACAGCAAGTAGTGTATAACAGCTCAGTTAATTGAAACGGCCCAACTCCTAACCGTCACTTTCCCATGCATTCCCAAAACAGATTCTCCACTTGTGCCAAATATTTGTTACTTACTGCCTTTCCGTCCCACTTTCTTTGTCTACTTATCTTTTGGCACATTATTAATGCATTTATTTAATTTATTTTATCTTGTAAGTATTAATAATCTATATGTTAAGACAAATCAAACAAGATCACACATGACTATATTTAGGCTTACACATTGAGAGAATTTGAAAAGTCAAAGTGCTTAGATGAACAGTTCCAAAAGTGAAATGTGGACAAATACAGGGAGACGGAGGAAGTAAATAGAGATACGAATGATCAAAGTAATGCATTAGAGACCGTGAAAAAATAAATATGAAGATAATTTTGGAATGGAAGGAGTATTACTTTTTTAAATACGGAATACATATTTAAAAAATGTACGGAGTATTTTTTTAACTTATAAGTTGATTAAATTCCTCTTGGGATTTTAATTTATTTGGGGAGGGAGGAATCAAATTATATTCGATATTTGTCCTTGGGTTCGTGTGAATTTTCACATCACAACATGAACACTTTACAATAACATGTCGAATCAAATCTTGAATCCTACTCGGACCGAGTATATAAAGTTAGGCTAGAATTTTTTTTCCTCAGTCAAAAAAATAAAAAGAAAAAAAAAAGAAAAAAGGGGAGAAGAAAAGTAGGGTAGCCGGTAGCATATACGTACATATGGTGCGCGCTCCACTACTACAGTATATCAAGCTCTATGTGGAATGCACTTACCATCTACTTCTTCTCATCAGTCTCATAGAAATTTCGATATTTAATTCATAAAATTATTTTTTCATAAGAATATTAAAAATAAAAAAAATGCAAGATAAGATTTTCAAAACATTCATTATGTATTTTCACTCTTTAAGTTTTTGGTTAAGCTGTTATACTATTTGGTTACAAACTAAGAAAAAAGAAATTTAGTTATAATGTACTCTATCTGTTTCATAAAATCTTTCTCTTTTCGTTTTTTTCAATTCCTAAAATACTTCCACTTTCTATTAAAAACCCACTTTAACCCATATTTTTTTATACCCTACCTATCACATCATACTTTTTTTTACTAATAACCAAATTATCACACTCCCTCCGTCCCAAAATATAAGCAACACTCCACTATTTAAAAATCACGCGAACTTTTATTTATTTTTGCATTTTCATTGGTTATTTGAAAAAATAAAATATTCTTGTCACCACTTATTTTGTACTCCGTAGAACTTTTGACGTAGTTTTTAAATATGTAAGTTTTATTTTTCATTTGTAGATCATTCTTTAATTAAAATGGATTGAAAAAATTCAAAAAATTACTTCGTTTAGCGTATTGTTGCTTATATTTTGGAACGGAGGGAGTATCTTACTTTTATCCATCACATCAGGAGCACAAATTGGAAAGTCGACCAAAATTACACTTTCCTTATTTTGGTCCAAAGTCAAAATGGGAAGAGTTTAAAGAAACAGATGAAGTATATAATTGAAATATCAAATCGGTTTAACATTTATCAATTAAAAATTATGTTTATTTTTTAGTCAAAAATATTACGAAGTCCAATTTAATTAACAAAAAATGTCAAACTGTAATTCTAAACGTATTACTTCCCCATCACAAATTAAATTGCATATTTACTATTTATAAGGTCAAATTTCATTACCTTTCTTTCTCTATTTTTGTTAGGCATATCATAAAATAACATAGTCATGTCAGTATGATTTTTGTAGATCTTTTGTTGTAGTCTTTAGATATATAATTTGTATTTTTAACTCTACATCGTTTTTCATATAAAATGATTTGAAAATAATTAATTTCAATCTAACATCTTAAATTGAAACAAACAATTTAAATTGGGTCGGAGAGAGTATATTATACTCCCTCCGTTTGGAAAAACCCTTCCCATTTTGATTTGGGGCAAAAATAAAGAAGTGTTAAATTATAGTTGATTTCCAATTTTGCCCCTGATGTGATGGATAAAAGTAAGACGTGATGGATAGATTATTAGAGAAAAAGTATGATGTGATAGGTAGTGTATGAAAAAGTAAGGGTAAAAGTGGTTTTAATAGAAAAGAGAAGTGTTTTGTTGGAAGTGGAAAAAATGAAAGAGGAAGTGTTTTTGAGAACGAAAGGAGTATTATATATTCATCTCTTAGTTTTTTTATTGTATATGTTAGAATATAAATAAGTCATCCTGGGCCACAACCACAAGCTTGAGCTTTTGGTTAAATTGGTTCTTTGACATGGTATCGGAGCCTTGTTGATTAGGAGATCACGAGTTCGAAACTCAGCGCCACCCAGTTTTAAGAAAATTAAAGTTTCACGTGCAAGGCTCGAAAAAAGACTACGCCTGCACGTGAGGGGGCATGTTAGAATATAAATAAGTCATCCTGGGCCACAACCACAAGCTTGAGCTTTTGGTTGAATCGGTTCCTTGACAGTATAAGAGCAAACTATATTCAGATAGTGAAATCTCGTAACCACAATAATGTCTTTTAGCGTAATTATAATAATGTCTTTCATTTTTTAAGAGTATTTGTCTAGTTTGTTTCTCTAGTCAAAATGTATAAATTTGATCATTAATTAGATAAATTTTATATATACAAAAAATCATTTTACGAAGTATTAGATTTATTTTGTAAAATTAATATTTTCAAGATATATTATTTTATGTAATAAATATTTCATGCATTTTTTTATTTAATTATATATATAGAACAAAAGGTAATCCAAATTGACTGGTGCAATATGTTAAAACGGGATAAATAGTTTGAGATGTATGTATGTATGGATGGAGTAGTATATATATAAGGGGAAGGTTCAATTTATTATTATGATTAAGTTTTGCAGAAAGAGAGAAAGAACGGGCCGGGGTGCATCGTAATATCATAATAAATATCCTTTTTGTATATATGGAGATAAGGTTTGGTAAATGTTTTTCTTTAGGTTGGCTCACATGGGAGCTGAGGCAAACTAAAAGTAAACCTGCATTTTCCTTTAAATAAAGAGATATGCCCAAATTGGGCAGATATGATAAAAACTGCCCATAAATGAGATAAGAAGTCATATGGATCGATATGCGGGCGAGCGGGCATGAGTGAATTGAAATCAATTTGAAAGTCTTATGGATCATTGATTGTCACACAATCAAATAAAAATCCATTCATGATATCATATACTCCATTCGCCCAAAAAAGTTTTTTCTGTTTACTATTACGGTAGACTTTTCGATAATGTTTATTTGTTTGCGGGTTTTCTTTGATCATTGAATAAAATAAAATATTTTTGTCACCTCTTATTTTCTATAGTTCTCGATGTAGTTTTTAAATATAATTTTTTATGTGTTATTTCCTTACCAATTCGCAAATAAAATTAATTTAAAATTCACGGGGTTTTGCACGTTAATCAAATTAGAAAATTCTTTTTGAGACGGAAGGAGTATGAAAAAGTTGTATTCGGGAAAATTTCTCTTGTATTTCTCATGATGACATTATGAACAAAGACTGCACGTATATAAGATCACACCGGCTAGAAACTCTATAAGTAAACTAAATACAAAAGGAAAGAAATTCAATATATATCACGAGACTACCAAAATAATATATACCGAAATATATTCTTTACTTCCTTACCCCTCTCTCTCTCTCTCTCTCTCTCTCTCTCTCTCTCTCTCTCTCTCTCTCTCTCTCTATATATATATATATATATATATATATATATATATATATATATATATATATATATATATATATATATAACACATACATACATACATATCCATGTAGAGGATGATGCTAAAAACAAAGTTGCCACGTAGGTCAACGTGGGATCCATTGCATGCATGCACATAATGTTCTGTTAATTTAAGTTTATTTTCTCTACCAGATTGGTACAACTAAAAACGGAACTAAACAAAACAATTATTATTGTTGTTATTTTATAAAAAAGTGGTTAGATTCAAAAGAATCCACGAAGAAAAATAAGTAGTGGATTTGTGGGTCTGGATTTAATAACATTGGTTACAAGTAGCTTAAAGTAAAGAGGAATTTAAGTAAATTAAGGGGGTGGCCCGGTAAATTAATGAGACTTAGTATTGAAGCAAGCTAAGCTCAACGTATGAGGATTAATCAATAAGCCTGCTGACGTATGATGGTGTCGGACCCGCACTCTACCAAATTCCACATGCAAGAAAAAATTTGACTAATTGAGTCATCATGATTATTTCCGCTCACAATTCTGTCACACAGAAAGTGAGGAGTGTCCACAGTGAATGATTACACCGTTTGGAGCAAAGAGTAGTAATGTTGAAATTTTAATTTTGTGAACAAAACACCGCGAGGAAGGAGAGGCACGCCAACTGGTTGGCGCACACTTAGCTTTTACGATAGGCACAACACATGAGCCTAAGGGAAGATGTCATTACAAAATCAATTGGTAATATGAGGAGGAGCACACCTCCTTCATGCGCATTTGAGCCTATTTCTTTTTCTTTTTCTTCTTCTTTTGATGTGGGACAACATCGTCCAACAAGTTGTGGGGCGGGTTTGGGGGCATTACTCCCCGTTCAATTTTTTAAAGATTATTTATAATGATAAAGAATGACTAGATTTATTTTTAAACAAGTACTCCGTATTTAAGTCACTAAAATAACATATTTTTAATGTAGGAAATATAATATTCTACTCCCTCCGTCCCATGAACCATGAGACTTTTGCTTTTTAGGAGAGATTTAAGGAAAGTGTATTTTGGTATTGAATTTCCAAAAATGTCCTTTGATGTGATGGGTAAAAGTATGATTTGATGGATAGATTATTAGTTTAAAGGTATGATGTGATAGTTAGAGTATGAAAAAGTAAGGGGTAAAAGTGACTTTTTAATAGAAATGAGAAGTGTTTTGTGGGACGGATAAAAAAAGAAAGGAGAAAGGTTTCATGGGACGGAGGGAGTATATAAAATATAGAAATATTTGCACTAAATAGTACTCCGTATTAAAACTTAAGTCATTTCCCTAAATAGTACTTAAATTATTTTATTCTCTAAATAGCACTTCATAATGTCTATAATGTCCAGTGATAGCCAATATTTACTTGAATAATGACTAATGGATAATGACTAATGTGATGCTATTTAGGGAAAGTCATTATGTTTTTGTGTTATTTACGTAAATTCCCCTAAAATATATCATAATCTAATATTACTGTTATACTTCGAATATTTTATCATTATTTTTCATTTAAATACAAAAAATTATCTAATCTATTAGGAAGTATAATTAAATTAGGATACTTCTTTCCTTTCCTACTAGGATTATTCTTTCCTTTTCTACTTGTACTTTGATTACTCTTGTATTCCCTATATATATGGCCATATCTCTCAATATTCAATAAGACAAGTTATTATCAAATTGTATCATGGTATCGGAGCTAAGGCTCTCAAAAACCTAGCCTCTCTTTTTTTCCGACCGCCGCCCACCATGGCAGCCCCGTCGGATCCTTTGGCGTCCTTACCCTCCGGAGTAAAACTTTTACTTCGGAGTCTCCACAACTTAATTCCAGAAAAACTCACCGAAACAAATTATCCGGCATGGTCTCTCAATGTCCAGACAGCTCTTTCAGCTAATCTCCTCCTTGGATGGATTGATGGTCATGAAGCAGCCCCGGCGCCAACTATCTCCAAAAACGATAAAACCGTCCCTAATCCAGAGTATACCTCCTGGACCATCGTTGACACACAGATCCGCGC